GATCCAGACACACAATGCCTGAAATAGGGGAGATCCAGACACACAATGCCTGAAATAGGGGAGATCCAGACACACAATGCCTGAAATAGGGGAAATCCAGACACACAATGCCAGAAATAGAGGAGATCCAGACACACAATGCCAGAAACAGAGGAGATCCAGATCATTTTGATTACACAAATGGGTACATTATGCACCCAAACTTTTTGCATTAGGTAACATTTTCTCAGTAAGAATGTAATATGTGTACATTTTAATGCTGGTTTTCCGCACGTTCCTTACAACTTACATATCACTTAAAACAATAGAAAAACATAAGTAAGTCATATTGATTATAATCTCTTGTTTCCTACTAATGCTAACTTAATAATAGGAGTTTAAAACTTAGAGAATGATCCTACTAACAGAGTTAGTACTAGTACTAGTTTTGAAGGTTTAATACAAAACAACATAATCAGTGAGCAACCATTCACATTTATTTTACCTGGACCATAAAATCGTTTTCCTCTGGTGACGTCGAAAATCTTCCCGTTCACAGCAATACATACTCTGCCATCGGGACCAGTGCCGTTGTAATTACTCAGTTCTTCCAGTGTCATGTCTTTCTTTTTCAATGGGGGGAGTTCTTGGGATTTTGATGGAGTAGATGAAGCTTTATCTTTAGCCAAAAACAGTTTGTAAATCAGAAAACCACATACTGTTAATAGAATTAGATTAATAGGACTGAAGAAAATCTCATTTATAACCTGGCTAACATATGAAGCCGGTTCAGTGTTAGGCCTACTATCTACTTCATCCATATTTGTTTGAGTAGTCAATTTAAAGTCTAAACTATCGTATATACTCGTTTAGAAAACGAGATTTACGTTTTCCGTAACAGCAAACTCGTATAACACTGAATAATAGCATAAGGCATCAAAATAAATATATGAAGAAAATTTTAAATGGTAACATGTGAGCTTGATTTCTAAATTTTCTGAAACACCCAAATAAATATATGAGGAAATATCATTTGCGTTTATTAATAATGCAATTTTCTGTACTTTACAGTTGTTCTGATAAACAATAAATTTTCTTAAAAATTGCAATACTGCAGTTATACCAGCATGATAAATTCACAGTATTACCAATAACCCTAATTATAATTATACTGTAAACAAAAATATGATTGCTGAACAAAACTAGTTTCTCGTCACAAATTTCCATATTACAAGAATTTAAAAAGTTGTAAAGTATATTTTCTTTGATACTTAAAGTTTTAGCTTAGCAATGTATCAAAGTTCAATTATATTTGCTTCATCTAACACTTGTAACACCCATTAGGTACTAAGAGATTATTTGTCTTATGAATATTTTATTTTGTAAATGTTTTTTATTATGTCTATATTTTATTGTTTATCATTGTTGAATTTGTTTGTAATTAAGCACAAAGCTACACAATGGGCTATCTGTACTCTGCCCACCACGAGTATCGAAACCCGGATTCTAGCGTTGCAAGTCCATAGACATACGGCTGTTCCACTGGGGAGGGGGGGGGAGGCATCATTGTTGAAAACGCTATTTTCAATATTATAATTTAGATGTTAGCTAGAGGGCGCAAGATGTTATGATCAAATATGTTCATAAAAGTAATCCTATAATTCCCAGAAAGTTCATGGTGATAATGACGTCAAGAAGCTCTACATGGAGTTGATTATTTATTCCCAGTTCCAAATTCTCTCGCAGGCATCAGCACTCCACTGTACGATGGCTTGCTCAATAAACATTTTGGTGTCTACTGATAGGCAGTAATTCTTTTATATAATGATGATGAAATATTTATTGAGCAAGCTGCACCTCGCAGACAGCAGCATTCCAAACCTCAACCCATCATAACCAATGAAGAAGGCATAGAGACAAGTTATTTGTTGCCTTATTTACCACCTAAGACAGTTTGCACACTAAATACTTTGGTGACTCCTGATAGACAGTCGACTCCTCGACACAATGGCGATGTTTGTTTGTTTTTGAATTTCGCGCAAAGCTACACGAGGGCTATCTGCGCTAGCCGTCCCTAATTTAGCAGTGTAAGACTAGAGGGAAGGCAGCTAGTCATCACCACCCACCGCCAACTCTTGGGCTACTCTTTTACCAACGAATAGTGGGATTGACCGTCACATTATAACGCCCCCACGGCTGAAATGGCGAGCATGCTTGGTGTACAATGGCGATGAAATATTTAGTTCATCTGCTACCTAACAATGACATTATAGGGAATTATTAACACACTGTATACATGTTACGGAAAAAGAGATATCTGGAACTCAATCTTGGCAAAAAGTGGTCGAAATCTAGTTAATAGAATACTGATATAGACGTAGTTGCTTTCAACAGTCACACCAGATGTATGCAACGTACAGGAAAAGTAGTCGAAATCTGGTTAATAGGATACTGATATAGACGTAGTTGCTTTCAACAGTCACACCAGATGTATGCAACGTACAGGAAAAGTGGTCGAAATCTGGTTAATAGGATACTGATATAGACGTAGTTGCTTTCAACAGTCACACCAGATGTATGCAACGTACAGGAAAAGTGGTCGAAATCTAGTTAATAGGATACTGATATAGACGTAGTTGCTTTCAACAGTCACACCAGATGTATGCAACGTACAGGAAACAACAACATCTCCTCAATTAGCTTGAATAAAAAAAATATATTTGCTGTTTAGTTCCTTTATACTTATTTTGGTGCAAATAATGAAATCAAGATTTATTTTGGTGTTACATCTTGACAGAAAGTTGGCAAAACCTGTGGTGCCAGTGCTACCTTGTCTTACTGGTGGTCCAAACTATTATCTCGAACACTCACTTAAATGTACGTATGCATAAGTGTGTAATAAACACAAAAACAAAACTATTTTCCTATTTGGGATGAACAAAGGAAATGGAATAAAGAAACAGTTTTATAGCCATTGGTAGGGACTGCTCATTGAATATAGAAGAGTTGATTACTATCAGCTGACACCAAGATATTTAGTTAGCATGTCGCCTTACTTGGATAAATAATGCATCAAATGACTTCCCGGTATACATTATCCGTTGGTTATAACGGTTGAAGTCTAGAATGCTGCTGTCTGCGATGTTCGGCTTGTCCATGAAACAATTCACGATCGTTGTATAAAGAACTTGATTATCTACCAGTAAATGCCAAGATATTTAGTGAGCAAGTCGACCTAGGGTGAATTGTTGCTGCCTGCGAGAGAATAAGGAGCACGGGAGTGTTCGTTTGGTTTGAATTTCGCGCAAAGCTACACGAGGGATATCTGCGCTAGCCGTCGCTAATTTAGCAGTGTAAGACTAGATGGAAGGCAGCTAGTCATCATCTCCCACCGCCAACTCTTTTACCAACGAATAATGGGATTGACCGTCACATTATAACGCCCCCACGGCTGAAAGAGCGAGCATGTTTGGTAGGACGGGGATTCGAACCCACTACCCTCAGATTTCGAGTCGAGCGCCCTAACCACTTGACCAGCACCAAAGTGTAACCATCTTATAGGTCAGTGGTTCTCAAACTCTTTTAGTCTGAGGCTCCCTTGATGTGAATAAAAAAGTTTGAGGCCCCAACCTATAACTTTAGCATGGTGATTGAAAACAGTGACGTAGTAAGAACAATAACATCTCCTTTCAACATACTATATCATTTACTTAATTCAACATAACTTTTTGGCGGCCCCCAAGAAAAAGCTTTACGCCCCCATCTTGAGAATCACTGTTATAGATGACTCAGAAAGCTAGTAACTTCAGTTAATATCTAGATGTGGTACATTACTATAAACACAGTGAAGTATTGGATGAAAGAGATTAATGAACAATTTATTGTGTACTCATTGAGAATTCAATGTATGAAAGATCAAGCAGCAGTTTTTCATCGAGAGATGATTGATTAAGTAAAGTCAATCAGTAAGTTAGGTTTGTTATCAATCGAGTAAGTTTATGTTAAACGTTATTAGTGTACTACGCCTAAGTAGTTTCAGAGTTTAAGTTAATCTTTTTTTTTTGTGAATTTAGGCCTATAACTTGCATCAAAGTAAACCTAGCCTATTGCAAACGTTATTGAAGAAATAAATTAATTCACTGTCGTTACATGGACTGGACTTCGCGTTACTTTCTCCAAATCATTTAAAAGAACCCGTTATAACAATGATACTGTTACGACAGCGGAAGTCACGTGTCGCTAGTAACACGTCATGATATTCTAGAAAGATCATGTCCGTTCGTGAAGCCTCGAGTGTTCTCCAGACACCCTCTATTTCTTATATATAAAACCGGCGAGAAGTGACGGCATACAGATGAATAATTGCAGAGATAGAGACAAACAATTGAGTCAAGCGCGGTAGAGACCGTAAGTAACGTGCGTGAATCGTTGGGAATTATAGCGTGTGTTTAAGTTAAAGTGACTGTGGAAATTAGGTGTATTACAAAGTTGTATTGAAAAAGAATAAACTAATTTTATTTAAGAAAGGACTTGTATCGCTATAGTTTCTTCGGAAAGAAATTATAGAGGAAATTAACAAACGACCAGAGACGTAACAATACTTATAGGGCTTTTGAGTCCTATTACTTCACCATACAGTAACTTAATACAGGTGTGTGAATAATATTATTGCAATTCGCCTAATGTGTTATACTGGGACCAACTATTTAATGATTATATTATAGATTATGTTTCTTTTCACCAAGGATAAAAATTGAAAATAGTATTTGTGACGTAGAGGCCTACAACAATATAACTTTTGTAACTGGACGTATTTAACTTAATTGTTTTTATTTTCTGTTATTATTTAGATCCATTTGTTTTAACATAATTAAACATTCTATAAATTATGTGAAAATTCATACCATATTATCACAGATATTTATTTCAGAGATTTTCCCTCTTTTGAAAATTGTAGCATTTTCTGTAACCTTTTTGCGATCGAGAAACAAGTGCTACTCATAAATACTAGGTATGATTAATAATTCGATTAATCAATTAGTTTAAGTGACCCTTATCAATATTTATAGGTAATCGATTAAATCGCCAGCTCTACTTCCCAAGATAATGTTTAATTACTAGTTTGTTTGCAAGAAATCACCATTACACAGTTGAATTAAATCATCCAATTGTCGAAGATCTGTATAACGTCAAGTGATGTGGGATTAATAAACACACCAAAGTGATATCCTGAAATGAAAGACTGGAGCCGTATCAACTGGGTATGATACACCAAACTGTTTTATAGTATCTTGCAACTTCTGTACTCAGATAAGAACTGCATAATTGATAATCGATGGTTTAAAGAATTATTAACCTCCAACATTTCTCAAGGATTTGGTTCTTTTATATTTGAAGTTTCACGTGCAAAAATTTTTTTTATATTTGTTTTACTATTTAATAATTCACACAAACCTTTTTTTAATAAAATATGTTCATTAAGTTGTGTACACAGGAAATTAGAGAAAATTTGGTAAAATAAGTTTTCATCCAGTCATGTTTATCATCAACACAGTTATAGAAGTCTGAATAAACTCAGTATTTTCTAACTTCTTGTTCCAGACTTTGTTGGATAATTAGTTTTTGTTTTTTAAAAGGAACAACAACAGACTTTTCTTTTAATTATAAAATATTTATTAAGAGACCTACAGTGATAGTTTATATATAACATACAGAGGTAACCTTGTTTCTCATGATAAAGAGCACAACTGTGGTGTGTGAAAAGGAATGTCCTTCAACTGTACACATGTCCAACTACTACACTTCTCTAGGTGGTTTTATTATAAATAAATTCACCAGCATTATATGCTTGTTTTTACTGTTTCTTCTTCTTACGTCCTCGTCCATCAGGAGTTCCATCAGCCTTACGTTTCTGGTTTGTCTGCTGTGGGAATAAAAACAATTCATCGTAGGTGTTTTATATTAGCCTTCTTGGGAATAAAAACAATTCATTGTAGGTGTTTTATATTAGCCTTTTCTTGGGAATAAAAACACTTCATTGTAGGTGTTTTATATTAGCCTTTTCCTGGGAATAAAAACAATTCATTGTAGGTGTTTTATATTAGCCTTTTCTTGGGAATAAAAACAATTCATCCTAGGTGTTTTATATTAGCCTTTTCTTAGGAATAAAAACAATTCATCTTAGGTGTTTTATATTAGCCTTTTCTTGGGAATAAAAACAATTCATTGTAGGTGTTTTATATTAGCCTTCTTGGGAATAAAAACAATTCATCGTAGGTGTTTTATATTAGCCTTTTCTTGGGAATAAAAACAATTCATTGTAGGTGTTTTATATTAGCCTTCTTGGGAATAAAAACAATTCATCGTAGGTGTTTTATATTAGCCTTTTCTTGGGAATAAAAACAATTCA